ACAGGAGTCCAGTCCCTGTGCTCCTCAGAGTCCGGGCTGGTTCATATGGTACTAACATGTCACTAATATATTTTGGTACAAGGCTATGGAGAGACTTGTACACAAGCAGAGCTGTTTTAAAGTCTATTCTCTGAGCCACAGGAAGCCAATGCAGAGACCTGAGGACCGGACTAATGTGGTCGTACTTCCTGGTTCTAGTCAGGACTCGAGCTGCTGCATTTTGAATGTACTGCAGCTGTTTTACAGCCTGTTTGGACAGACCTGTGAGCAGGCCATTGCAGTAGTCTAACCTACTGGAGACAAATGCATGGATAAGAATCTCCAAGTCTGCTTTAGACACTGTGTTTTTGATCCTGGCAATGTTTTTTAGATGGTAAAAAGCTGCTGATGTTACTGATTTGATGTGGCTATTAAAATGTAAGTCTGAGTCCAGTATTACCCCTAGATTTCTGACCTTGTTTGAAGGTTTTAGGGAGAGAGACTGGAGGTGACAGATGACGCTCTCTCTTTGTTTCTGGGGACCAAAAACAATAATTTCAGTTTTGTTTGCGTTTAGCTGAAGGAAGTTGTTTTGCATCCACTCACTGATCTGTTGGATACAGTGAAGGAGTGAGTCCACTGGTCCATGTTCTCCTGCAGTCAGTGAGACATAGATCTGAGTGTCGTCTGCATAGTTGTGATAGGACACTTTGTTTCTGCGTATTAACTGACCTAACGGCAGCATGTAGAGATTGAACAGAAGAGGTCCCAGGATCGACCCCTGTGGTACTCCACAGGTCAGGGCCATATGATCTGAGACACAGTTTCCAATCTCCACAAAGTACTTCCTGTCTTCAAGGTAAGACCTAAACCAACTTAGGGCGGGGCCAGCGACTCCAACCCAGTCCTCTAGTCTCTGTAAGAGGATCTCATGGTCGACAGTGTCAAAGGCAGCACTCAGATCTAACAGGATTAGGATTGAGACTTTGCCTTCGTCAGTGTTCAGCCGGATATCGTTTGTAACCTTAACGAGAGCAGTCTCAGTGCTGTGGTGGGGTCTAAAGCCGGACTGAAACATACCAAATGAGTTGTTGATTATAAGAAATCTATTTAGCTGTTGGTAGACAACTTTTTCAAGGACTTTCCCTATAAATGGCAGATTTGAGATGGGACGATAGTTGTTAAGTACCGTAGCATCCAGCCTGCTCTTTTTTAGCAGGGGCCTGATGACTGCAGTTTTCAGGGCCTTTGGGAATATTCCAGAATGAAGGGACATGTTTACTATCTGTGTGAGTGAAGGTAACAGACTGCTCAGAACAGACTTTAGAAATCTAGTGGGTAGTACATCCAGGCTGCATGTGGAGGAGCTCAAACTGGAGATTATCTCTTGGACAGTTTGATCATTTACAGGTGCAAAGTGAGTTAGCTCAGAGAGCCTTTCTGGTTGTTGGATGGTTATCTGTGGATTGGAGACAATGGCGTTTTTGATTCCTTGAACCTTGTCATTGAAAAAATGTGCAAACTCATTACATTTACGTTTGGAAGTTAGCTCTAATGGCAGCTGAACAGGGGGGTTTGTTAATCTATTAACTGTTGAAAACAGAACACGCAGATTGTTGCTGCAACCTTCAATCATTTCATAAAAATACCTTTCTCTCGTACTACGTAGCACCTGGTTAAACTCGCACAACTTATCTTTGAAGATCTCGTAATCAACCTGGAGGTTGGACTAGCGCCACTTCTGCTCGGCCCTCCGGCACTCTCTCTTTTGTGCCCTGACCGAGTCTGCTAGCCCACGGCACCTTCTGCTTATTTTTCACTATTTTAACTTTCACAGGAGCGATGGTGTCCAGAACATTCAAAACACTAGAGGTGACAGAGTTAAACAGTTCATCTACAGTAGAATATGATGCATTCTCAAAGTTTATCATTCCCATAAATAGTTCACCCGTATTTTCATTTATGTGTCTTCTTCGTACAGTTGCAGAGTCCACTGGTGGTTTGTTAGTGAAACACATGTCAACAAATACACAAAAATGATCCGAAAGCGCAACATCGACCACGTTTACATTAGAAATGTTCACCCCCTTTGTAACTAACAGGTCTAGAGTGTGCCCTCTGCTGTGGGTGGGGCCACTCACATGCTGAGTGAGACCAAAAGATTCAAGAACAGAACTCAGCTCTTTTGCATTTCTGTCAATAACATTATCCACATGAATATTAAAATCCCCTGTAATAACTAAGCTATCAAAATCTGTGCATACAACTGAAAGCAACTCGGTAAAATTATCAATAAAACTGTGACATGACTGCGGTGGCTTGTATAGGACAACGAAAAGTATTGGAGGAGATTGTCAAAGCTGTCTTTTAACTTTAGCCTTCTCTGTTTTAGTGATATTTTTTCAGAATTTGTCTTCATGAGCCATGTTTATTTTGAGAAAATATGTACCAGAAACAAAAGTGGAATTTCAAGATTGTGCATAAATAACCCTGAGATACATTTACATAATACAAATTAGAAATATGATATACCCAGGAGAAACACTTGCAGATACTTGTCTATGTGTTTTAGCTTGTTGTTTTAATATGTTAAGATTACAGTAGGTTGAGATTAAAGGTGTATTGGAGGATTTTCCCAAATTTTAGGAAGGAACCGCCCTCTCCACTTTTGAACAAAACTCTCTGGTCTTATTGGACAAGCACTTTTTCACCAGAATGATTGACAATGGGGAGGACCAATAGTCTTGATGATCCACCCGGAAGTAGAAAATCCTCCTATATTTTTTCGACTCCAAGGAATTAATAAAATACAGCATTCCCATTTTATCTTTCAGATTTAAGGGGCTTCCGGAATAAAATATTGGATTGAAACTAAGGTCGTGTTTCAGTAACAACACACATAATATCACAAGATCATCTCACTAAACTCTGTAATAAGCAGGTAAATGAGGCAGTTTGTGTTTTAAAGGAGCACTTTTATTGAGAGCAGCAGCACTTCTCACAGATGTCCAGCAGATGGCGGTAAATTTATACTGAACATACAGCACTTACATGTGTCACAAACTACGGTGTGTTTGTGGCGGAAGAAAGAGGAAGAACACATGTATATACTGTTTATATTATCATTACACACACACCGCTACAGGACAACCACAAAAAACACCAAATTAAAACTGTCTGTGATCGGTTTGTGAAGAGAAACATGAGGTTAATGTTCTAATTAGATGTTAAAGATGTACTTCTGTTTTATTGTATTTTGCTTGAATTTGACTAAAGCAGTAATATGTAGATAACCAGTGTGTTATGTACATGGTTTCACAGTTGTAACATATATATTACATGATATAGTACATTATTATATTATGTATTTTTAAAAAAGCAAGGCACCTCTCAGCTTTTTGCTCCTGCCTTCTTCATTTGAGCTTCGTTTCTTGAATTGTGTGTACCTGGAAAACATACACTGTAAAACTACTCAAATAAACAACTACTACAACTACGACGACTACTACTACTACTACTACATGTTATAGTGCTGGTAATAGTAATAATCTGAATATGGCTCACAGAAACAGAGCCATAAGGAACACTCTTTCACCTAAATATTCAGGTGTATCCACAATCCAAGCTCCTCAGCCCTAAAAACAGTTGTTGTTCACGTAACACTGATGCCAAAGCTTGACTCTTATTTAATAATAATAACAATTATAACACTAATGATAATATTAATAATGAATTGGTTTTTACAGCACTTTTCAGGACAGACGCTTCAAATGTCATTATTCTTTTCACTCCAAACACGGTGGTGATGAACTACTACTGTAGCCACAGCTGCCCTGGGGCACACTGACAGAAGCGAGTCATCAGGCCCCTCTCACCACCAACAACCATTCACGCACACACACCAGACTCATTCTAATGTGGGTGAAGTGTCTTGCCTAAGGACACCACCACAGTTTGGCACTTTACAGCCGCAGCCGCCCACTGTGGTATCAGGTGTTCCCACAGGTCTCCCATCACAGTACTAACCAGTCCATGCCCTGCTTAGCTTAACAAAAATGATCCTAAAATTTGATAGGGGCCAAAACTACAGATATATAGTAGTGAAAACTAGAGAAATTTTAAATGCTACAAATCTATGAATATTATTATATAGTTATAGTAAGTAAGTAAGTAATCTTTTTTTATATAGCGCCTTTCTCAAACCAAAGTCAAAAAGCACTTTACAATTGTTTTGGGATTTTGTGTCTCACTCCACACAGAGATGGGAGCGAAGTCGCATGCCAGACCTAATGTACATGTTTTCAGTGGTAGGGGAAACCGGAGGACCTGGAGAAAACCTATGCAGACACAGGAACAACATGCAAACTCCACTCAGAAAGGTCCTGTTCCGACCGGGATTCGAACCCTGGACCTTTTTTCTGGGAAGTGAAAGTGCAAGTCAAATCAGCCACAGTACCACCCTCACGTTATTTTATGTTTCAAGTTTCAAAGGGTGACAGTAGCTCAGTTGGTAGAGTAGAGCATTGGCCTTTGGGCCTGAAGGTTGTGGGTTCGAGCCCACCGTAAGACCTACTTCACGACTCCCACTGATGACTGCTGTTGTTGTGTCCTTGGGCAAGACACTTAACACCACTTTGCCTGAAGCCCCCACTGAAAGATCTCAGCTCCTGTGGATTCACCACCTGCAGAAGGGTCAGTGAGGGGCTGGTGCTCAGTGTACTGGGTGGCATCTCTGACTGCCACCCCCCTGACCCAGAAATGGATTAAGGGGAAGAAAATGGATGAATGGAGTTTCAAAGTTATGTACTCCAGCTTCAATGGAAAACACAAGTGTCTGTAATCCACGATCAACGATGTCAGACTGCACTGGGTATAGTCTCGCACAGTTTTTCCAATGTGGTTTTACTGCAAATGACACATAAACCCTTGAATCTTGGAGTAAAACCGTAGGATGTCACAGTCCTGAGTTTTCTCCCATAAAACAAATCCCAGCGTGATGTTTTATAGATGTGGCGATGGGGTCAGGTGCTCCGACGTCCGCCTCGGTCCCGGTCGATCGTGGCTGACACCGGGAGCTCAGACCCGTGTTTGTTTGGACAGAAGAGGTGTGCGCCCGGATCCAACATGGCACACGCTGCATTATTGATACATGCAGAGGACGAGACCTGAGTCAAGTGGATGTTATCTGTGGAGGACGTTCCCCTCAAGGAAACACCGAGGAGAGGACGGGGGAGGACGGGAGAGAACGGGGGAAGACGGGGGAGAATGGGGGAGGACTGTGTTGGCGCTCACTGCTAATCTACAAGCAGCCAACTTCAGCCTCAGGAACAGTCAAAAATCAATGTTATGATGTTGTGGTAATATGTCACTATCACTAGATTGATAGGCAGGTAGATGGATAGATAGATAGATAGACAGAGACGGGGAGTAGAGAGAGAGAGGGATAATGAGAGAGTGGGGATAGAGAGAGAGAGAGAGGGAGGGGGAGAGAGAGAGAGGGAGAGGGGGGGTATAGAGGGAGAGAGAGAGAGGGGATAGAGAAAGAGAGAGGGGGGTATAGAGAGAGAGGGGGGATAGAGACAGAGAGGGAGAGAGAGAGAGGAAGAGAGAGAGAGGGGGGGATAGAGAGAGAGAGGAAGAGAGAGGGAGAGGGAGGGAGGGATAGAGAGAGAAAGAGAGAGGGGGGATAGAGAGAGAGAGAGAGAGGGAGGGAGGGAGGAATAGAGAGAGAGAGAGTCCATAAATGTATATATTTTGAAATAACAAAAACATTTAAAATTAATTGAAACTGATAATAACAGTGACTGTGAGCCGTCTCTGATGAAGGTTGATTATTATGATTAAGTGAGAGCTTTAAAATTGTTTTTGGTTTTTTTGGACATTTTTTTATCTTGTCGACCCTCATTAACTCGCTTGTAAATATTGAATTGATCAATTAGCATTTGGTATTTCCATTATTGATGTATTTATTTAAATTATAAAGCTGTATAAACTCAAAAATGGGAACTCAGAGAGACTTTTTAATTTAAAAACAGAAAAACTATTGATTCTCAACTTTAAATCACATGTATATTAAGAGATTCATTGTTTTTAGGTGCATCATTAAAATACATGTGACATCACAGTTTGGAGACATTTTAGTCGACAAATCGATCGACCCGGACGCGACCACAAAGAAACGGTGTCTCCATGGCAACACGTGTGGGAAAGAACGTCTTTTTTTGTATTATTTAAATTTCTCAGAGCAGTTTCTAGTTTTACAGAGATCAAGTCATTTTCACACACAGACTTTTGGATCTAAGTCGATAGAAATGTGTAGTCAACAAACTTTGCCATAAAAATCTATTAAAACAAGAGAGAAAAACACATTCTTGGGGTTATCTTCTTGAAAATGTGAGACAGGCTTCTTCTCTGACAATGTTTAAATCCAGGTTAAAGGATTTTATATTTGTATCTTTATTTTTACTGTGCCGTGATTCTTCTGCGTTTCCTTGTACGTGAATGGTGCTATACAAATAACCTTGCCGTGGCTTTTGAAGCTCTGGTGAAAGCATCAGACACAGATGATTGAACAACAATAGAGCTTATCGAGCATAAACTGGGTCAAAACATGGGCCTTTTTGAAGTCACGTTTCCTCCTGGAATTCTCTTTATGTGATGTCACGTAACGGCGCCTCATGAGAAAGAACATCCACAACATGAACCAGGATTTTGGGTTTGTTCGGATTCTTTAGTGACTTTTTCCAAATCACAAATTGTTTAGTCGCTCTGAAAAAGTTATTGTGTTTTGTGAGATGTTGCTGCAGTTCAGTGTTCATGGTTTTACACTGGTCCAGACCAGAGCAGAGAGGATTCATGGTTTTACACTGGTCCAGACCAGAGCAGAGAGGATTCATGGTTTTACACTGGTCCAGACCAGAGCAGAGAGGATTCATGGTTTTACACTGGTCCAGACCAGAGCAGAGAGGATTCATGGTTTTACACTGGTCCAGACCTGAGCAGAGAGGATTCATGGTTTTACACTGGTCCAGACCAGAGCAGAGAGGATTCATGGTTTTACACTGGTCCAGACCAGAGCAGAGGGGATTCATGGTTTTACACTGGTCCAGACCAGAGCAGAGAGGATTCATGGTTTTACACTGGTCCAGACCAGAGCAGAGAGGATTCATGGTTTTACACTGGTCCAGACCAGAGCAGAGAGGATTCATGGTTTTACACTGGTCCAGACCTGAGCAGAGAGGATTCATGGTTTTACACTGGTCCAGACCAGAGCAGAGAGGATTCATGGTTTTACACTGGTCCAGACCAGAGCAGAGAGGATTCATGGTTTTACACTGGTCCAGACCAGAGCAGAGAGGATTCATGGTTTTACACTGGTCCAGACCAGAGCAGAAAGGATTCATGGTCCAAACCGAGTGGATCAGGTCAAAATCCACTGGAGGAATGCTAACTTTATGGAAAAATGCTAACAAAGCATTTAGCATTTTACTTTGGACCAGAGCAGAGAAAATGGTCTGATCCAAGCTCCACCTCTGCTGCTGTGACCTGAAGGACTTTTGTATTTTAATTCTATTGTTGCTACTTTCAGAATGATCTATTTATTTGTTTTGTTTGTTTGAATAGATGTGTTTCTGCTGCTCCTGGACACCTGCATTTCTCCTACAGGATCAATAAAGTATCTATCTCCATATCTAAATCTATCTGTCTATCAGTTTCATTCGGAACTCCTCAAACTCTTTCCCCAGTTTCCACAGAAGCCTCCACACTTTCTCTTGTATCCGGGGCAGCTCCGTCTCCGCTCAGTCCGGTGTCTTCCTGACCCACTTTGCGCCTTGTTGCTTGAGGGCAGACCACATGTTTAATAGACACCAGGCCTCTCCCACACAACAGAGACATGTGGATGTGTGTACGGCTCCGTTTCATACTGTATGTGCAAGCTGCCTTTCATCTTTCCACTGCACACATCCTCTTACATAACAATCACACAGGATTTGCTATCACCTCGCTGCAAAAGTCATGTGTTCAATGTATGGGGTGCTTTTGTGTTGTTTATATCTTCTTTAAGGTCAGCAAAATAATAATAAAATGTATAACGATAATGGTTTTATACAGCACTTTACAGAACACGCAAAGACTTTTATACGTCTCTACTGTGTATTTATACTTGTTTCTTTGATGCTAGAGTTAGAGATTTGTTTTGTATCATTTAGTATAGTTATTGTTCATTATCTCTTATCTATCTTACAGTCAGGGACAAACAGAGACTACAGCGCATTGTGCGCTCTGCAGAGGAAGTGATCGGCCGCAGCCTTCCATCGCTGCAGGACCTGTACGTCGCCCGAGCTCAAGGCCGGGCTGGTCGTATCACAGCCGACCCCTCTCACCCTGCACATGGACTATTCCATCCACTCCCCTCAGGCAGGAGGCTGCGGTCCATCAGGACTAGAACCTCCCGCCACAAGAACAGTTTCTTCCCCTCTGCTGTTGGACTCTTGAACACTTCTTAACCTGTCCCCCCACCCTTTATAAAGTCACTTTACTGCCCATCATACGTCACTTTACTTCACTGTACTGCTGTCATCTTACATTGTGTGCACCATGTGCACTTGTATATTGTAAATAGTAACTGTAACTCTATTTTAAAATTAAATTTATTCTTTAGAAGTGTTTTTTATTCTTATGTTTATTATCTCTTTCTGACTGTTGCACTGAGCCAAAGCAATTTCCAAGTCTGTGACTTCCTGTTACTTACGTGGCAATAAAAATGATTCTGATTCTGATTATTCCTACTGTTCTGTAACTTGTGATGCAACACTGAACAGCCGCAGCCGCCCCACTGGTGTTCCCAGAGGTCTCCCATCACAGAACTAACCAGGCCCTGTCCTGCTTAACTTTGGAGGTCTGTCAGGACCTTTTGACATGTTCTTTCTTTTGTTTGACCAGTTCATTATTTCAAAACATAAACATTGTTGGGTCTTTTTTGCTTTGGGGGTTTCGTTTGGCACGTGCAGCTCTCTCTTCTCATCACGCACTCTCACGCAGAGCACACGCACGACTGCTCGGAACGTGCATTTGCCAAATTCTCAATTCAAGGTGAGTAGCGGCGGGCGCGCGCTTCGATGCAAATAGTGTTACTGCTGCTACTGTGCCGCGAGCGCGCGTACGTGCCCGCGCACCGTGCCTGCCTGTCATCAGTACAACATCAGCATCTTCCGGGGAGCGCGCGGGGCAGAGGAGGAGGAGGACGGAGTACTGAGAGAAGAGGAGCCAAACTGAGCCGATAATGGAAACGAGGCGGTGGAGGGTGCGCGTGGAAAGGACTGTGTGACCGCGCCGCTCGTTTCATCCACTGAGTCTCAGTGTTTGTTATTTTGGGGAGACCTGAGGACTGGTGAAGGAGCAGAGAAAAAGAGGGGAGCACCCCGCGCGGACGCTGGGGACACAGAGGAGAGGAGGGTGCACCGCTGGCGCTGTTCGAAGGCTCCGCGTCCGCGACACGACGCGATGACGAGCCGCACTTTTGAAGCTGATCACACAAAGGCACGCTCTCCTCAGCTCCTTCTGCTCTTTTTTCTTAATCATTGATGGGCCCTGAGGAGACGCGCCTCGGAGCGCTATGTTGAATCACTGGTGCTGGTATATTATTGAGTAGAGCTATAGGTAACGCGGGGCTGTGTGCATGTAGCGGCGCCTGTGCGTCGCCGTGCGGCTGAGTGGCATCATTAGTGTTGTATTAGGTGATGTAGGCCCATTCCAGACTGTGTGGAAAAGGCGTGGGTTTTTTCCTCGTTTTTTATTATTTTATTTTATTTTTACATTGAGATCTTACACAAAGACCAAACATGTTGCCTTCCCAAGAAGCCTCCAAGATTTACCATGACAATTACATGCGCAACTCGCGTGCCATCGGCGTGCTGTGGGCCATCTTCACCATCTGCTTCGCCATCGTCAACGTGGTGGTGTTCATTCAGCCCTACTGGATCGGCGACAGCGTCAACACGCCGCAGGCCGGATACTTCGGCCTATTCCACTACTGCGTGGGCACGGGGCCGTCGCCCAGTCGCGAGCTGACGTGCGTGGGCAGCTTTTCCGACTTTAGCTCCATCCCGTCCGGAGCCTTCAAAGCGGCGTCGGTCTTCGTGCTGCTGTCCATGGTGCTGACCCTGAGCTGCATCGCCTGCATGGCGCTCTTCTTCTTCTGCAACACCTCCACCGTGTACAAGACGTGCGCGTGGATGCAGCTGCTGTGCGGTAAGTGACGCTCTGCCATTGTGTGAGCTCTGAGCTGGATGTGAGCTCCTTTGGCAAATGGATAAGCCTATAGAAAAGGCCCGGTAGGCTACTTCATTAACGAAACAACAATATGTCACTCAAATCCGGATGTAAAGTCCAGATTTGAATCACAACACAACGTGCAACCGGTGGCCTATTACTCCCAAACAGCCCTAGTACACACACAATACACAGGAGCTGATCATCTCTCTGCATTGTGCACACGGCAGCTTCACAAAATCAGCGCTGTGTGAAAGTGTGAGAGGGAAAGTCGGACATTCCACCGATACATGTCCAAAAAATGGTGAAATAATGAGGATCAAAGGCACTTTTGGCTCCGAGTCTACAGTGGTGCTTTTAACTCCACATAATGGCCAGCCATTACCAGACTATGAATTAAATATGAGGAGATTGATAATGAGGAGATTGATGAGATAAGGAGAAAAAATGCTGAGTGGAGAAAACCAATTTTAAATGGAGCTGTCTGAAATGCACCATTGTGTGTGAGGACTCGGGAACCCCCTGATATGAATCATCATCTCAGAGGTGTTCCCCAAATCTGGATCACAATCACATTATGATATACGTGTGTATATGTACTGTATGTATTTTTATATATTTAGATTCAGTCAAGCATCATATCATATAATCTCCTTGATATTCCCACAACATAGCTTTCTTTCATCATTTTCATGTCTTGTGTTTTTATCCGTATCCAGGTTCTCAGAAACATGAATCCTAGTTTGGAGCGTGATCCCAGTTTATTCTATGTATTTAAAGAGCATTTTTTGAGCCGTCCCATTTCTGTCCCTGTTATGATGCGTCCTATTTACATATCCTCTGAAATCATCTGTGACTGGTGTTACTTTGGTGGATGTTTGACTGACAATACCACTATGAGGGCTGGAGTGAGCCCTCATGTGGGGCTTGGGTCTAGCATTTGGGCAAAAAGGTTTTCATTATTTTATGTAGTTTAAAGTGAGTAAATCATAGCATTTGAACGGCCGCAAATCCTTTCACTGCTCTGACTACACACACTACACACTGTCTCTGCAAACAAAGCAAGTATGAATACAATCAAAAAAACAGAAAATCCAAGTTCCTCATGTTCAGTTGTGACAATCCAGATCTGCTATTCAGACAAGGGGCTATTTAGAAAACATACATTGTCACAAAATCCTGAAAATAAAAATTGAACCGCTGAAAACAGGAAAGCAGTAATATGGAAATGTTTGAAAAGCAAAACAGATTCAGAAAAAATAGATTCTTGGTCCCACTGTGGTGTGTTGGAGTGCGCTTTACAGGACAGCTGGGACCCAAACCCAAACTTTAAATATTAAGAATAAGCAAGGCAAGGCATGATTATTGTGTAGCACAGTGCATACACAAAAAGTTAAAAAACAAAAAAGACATTGTGGCAATTAAATGATCTGATTCCATTATTCCGTCGTACAGTATACAGTATTCACAACTGAATCAAACAGTTTTAACCCACACTTTTGAATATTCTCAATGTCCCAGATTTTAGCTGTGACGATGACTCCGTTACCCTCAGAATTTCCGACCTGATTAAAAGTTTTTAAAGAGAGAGATGACGCGCTCTGCTAGTTTCTCTGGACCAAAGACGATCATTTCAGTTTTGTCAATCATTTGGGTTTAGCTGAAGAAAGAGGTTCTGCTCGTGTTTTCCTCAGTGAGATGTAATGTAATGTAATCTTTGTTTATATACCGCCTTTTCACTGCACATCGGAGTCTCAAAGCGGTTCACAATTGTTATTTTTTGGGAGTGGGGTCGCCAGTACAGGAGGAACATGCCAGACCTATTGTACATATTTTTAGTGGTAGGGGAAACCGGAGCACCCGGAGGAAACCTACGCAGACACGGGGAGAACTTGCAAACTCCACTCAGAACCCCCACCCTGGTCCAACCGGGATTCGAACTATGCTATCCACTCAGCCACCGTGCCGCCCTGAGTCCCTGAGATCTGAGTCCTGAATCTCCTGGACTTACTGCACCTGTATATAGCAGAACTTACAGAACAATTTATGCCAATTTTTGAAGTGCGCCAAATTTTTCTTGTTTTTTCACTTGTTTGCTTGCACCTGGTGTCATGTGGTGAAATGATAGAGGGCAGGAAAAAACAAACTCAAAATCCCAACAAGAACTCAGGAACCAGGAAAACAGACAGACAAACACCGAGACAATACAATGGACCAGCGACAAGGGGAGAGGAGCACAGGTACATCTAGACACACAGAGACACAGGTACATATAGACACAGAGACACAGGTACATATAGACACAGAGACACAGGTACATATAGACACAGGTACATATAGACACACAGAGACACAAAGAGACACAGGTACATATAGACACAGAGACACAGGTACATATAGACACAAGAAGACACAGGTACATATAGACACACAGACACAGGTACATATAGACACAGGTACATGTAGACACAGATACAGTATACACAGGTACATATAGACACAGAGATACACAGGTACATATAGACACACAGAGACACAGGTACATATAGACACAGAGAGACACAGGTACATATAGACACACAGAGACACAGGTACATACGGACACAGAGAGACACAGGTACATATAGACACAGAGAGACACAGGTACATATAGACACACAGAGACACAGGTACATACGGACACAGAGAGACACAGGTACATATAGACACAGAGAGACACAGGTACATATAGACACACAGAGACACAGGTGAAACACATCAGGGCGGGGCAGACAATCAAGACATGGGGAACAGGACAGGAAGTACAACTAAAAATCACACCACAGAGAACGGGTGTCAAAAATGAAACCAAATACAGAGTTAAAATCCACCCTATGACACCTTGGGCCAAAGCAAATTCCTAGTTGGTCACTTCCTGTTACTTACAATGGCAACACAAAGACTTCTGATTCTGAATCTGATGGCAGCATGTAGAGATTGAACACTCCGCAGGTCTGGGAGATAGGAGCAGAGACCGTTTCCAATCTCAATGACTTCTTCCTGTTTTCTAAGACTTAAACTAATTTGGGTGAAAAATCTAAAAAGTGACATCTAAAGTATAAGCCATGAACGAAATGAAAACCTCCATCCATTTTCTTCCCCATATTCCATTTCGGGGTCGTTGAAGTTGCAGTCAGAGCTTTACCCAGTTCACAGAGCGTCATTTCAATGTTTTCTTGTATAGCCCTAAATGACAACAGCAGTTACCTCAGAGGACTTAACAAAACGGTTGAAATCGTCAACACAGATCAGAGAAACACTGAATACAGAACACACATAAGTATTGGTCCATAGGGAGTTGACCAATGTCCATAAATGTCCATACATGTTGTAGAAAGTTAGAGTGTCCTGGATCATCACCACAGTCCTTGTTGTTGGACCCACTAACAGCAGGGGCTTCAGGCAAGTGTCATCCCCAAGGACCCAACGACAGCAGGCATCAGAGGGTGGAGACAGTCTCATGGTGGCCAATGCTCTACCAACTGAACCACAATCGCCTGCGTAAAAACAAAATCAAAATCTGTTTTCCCAAAAGTGACTTGTGAATCAATCAGATTGTAATTTATAGGATTATGGGACCTTCCAAAGTTTCAGATCATGTTGAGAAAAGAGAATGAGGAGTGATTTGTTTGATGTGGACCAAGGAGTGAAGAAGCCGACAGCTCCAAATGAACAATTGGAGTAATCAGGTTGTATATTGCCGGTCTGGTTATAGGACTCCCATTTCATAGAGTATTAATATTACAAGAGTTATGGCCCGGGTGGAGTCCGTGCTTGAGAAAAGGCGAAGCTGAGGCAGTGTATTTAATTAAAACGACTGTCACCGTGCACACTGATATAATGAAATTTGATAGCGTACTTTGTTTATGAACTGCTTCCCCCACAGTTTTCTCATATAGACTGTCTGAACACACCATAGAGTAAAACAATAACTGGATATGACATTGCATTGATCACGTGTGTCCTCAGAAATTCATTCTATTTCTGTCCCCCTTGGCCCTAGCCTGGGTACGTACCAAAAAGATGCAAGATTCATTTCCATGTATTCTTGTGTAGCCCTGAATCACAACAGTAATTATCTCAAAGGACTTCACAAAACCATTGAAATCACCAACACGGATCACTGGAGAACACATGGTATTGGTCCAGAGGGAGTTGACCAAAGTCCATGAATTTTGATAAATGTCCATAAATGTTGTAGAATGTAGAGTATCCTGGATCATCACCACAGTCCTTTTTGTTAGACACAAATTCAATGGATTTGGGTTCAGTGATTAGACCTATGTAACTTTGGAAAGGCAAACTCCCTGCAAGATGAACATAGGAAATCAGTTGTGGCTGTGTCGTATCGGGTCACAACATTAGTTTAATTAATAAATACAATACAATACAATACAATACAATACAATACAATACAATACAATACAATACAATACAATTTATTCTTGTATAGCCCTAGGTCACAACAGAAGTCATCTCAGAGGACTTAACAAAACCATTGAAATCACCAACACAGGTCAGAGAATCAACAGTTAAAACACATGGAGAATATAAAGCACACACAGAAGAAAATGTCCATACATGTTGTAGAATGCTAAAGTGTCCTGATCATCACCAATCCTTTCTGTTGGACACTAACTGTCCAACAAGACCCTCCTGCATCGACAAGGAAAAACTCTTAAAAAACCCAGTGGGAAAAAGTGAGAAACCTTGGAGGAGAACTAGGGAAACCCACAGGGAGGGAGACCCATATGAGAAAGGGATCCGCTCCTCCGGACGGACAGACTAATGATCTAGGACCTAAGCTAGCTACAGAACGTGGACCAGTGGCCGCTGAACGTGGACAGGTCCGGTGCAGGACTGAAGCACTCCCAGGCGGGTCGGGCGGGGCAGTCCGCAGGTGTAGATGGAAGAGGCCAGGCTCAGAGATCCCGTCATCGTACCATGA